CTTGGCTCTTTTGTGCTCACTGCCACAGTGAGAGAAGGAAGGGAACAAACTCATATAGAGGCTTGTGAGAGTCTTCTCCTGGCTTTGTTTGTCAAAAGTCAAAAGCCTTTGGCATCAAAATGAATCTTGGTATATACAAAGCCTTTGAAGAAACATAAGTAGAGGGTTTGAGGAGAGAGGGATTGCCCACTTGTCATTTTCCCTGCCCCCAGATATTCCCCTGGAAGGTGGGGAGCAGAGAGACTGAGAGAAAGTGGTAAGGATACAGATTTTGGAAGGTCCTGGAGTGAGGGGCTGGAGGCCTGCCTCTGAAGCAGCCTCCTGAGAAGTGGTCCACAGGCAGTCTCTCACATAGTCCAGGGCCTTGGTAGGAAGCAGGAGCAGCAAAATGAGTCCTGAGACTGAGGAATGACTTCTGTGCCTATGGGCAGGGTGGAGAGGTTGCAGGGAGGATCTCTGGGTTAACAGGAAGGGAAGACCCGGAATCAGACATAATGACATAAAAATAGCAATACTTCTCAAGTGGATCCGCAGATTAACCACAATCCCTATCAAAATCCCACCTGTCTTTTTTGTTTTGCTTTGTGTTGTTGGTGGTGATGGTTTTGCAGGACTTGACAAGGAGAAGGTGATCTTAAAATTCTTCTGGAAACGCAAAGAGCCAAAACATTCTTGAAAGAGAAGAATAAGACTGAAGGACTCACATTTCCTACTTCAAAGCGCATGACAAAGCTGCTGTGATGAACACAGTGCTGTGAAGTTTCTGCTTCTGCTGAGTAACCCCGGACACTATGACTGTAGAGTCACATACTTTGATCCAGTCTCCTAATCTATAGCATGGGATCTGTGTAGGATACAATGCTATGATCTGCTCACATCATCCAGCTGTTTCACAAATAAAATTCAAGAATGTCCATGAAAATTTGGGGGGGGGGGGACTGCTGGACAAATAAGGTACTTGAGGGTATACAAAATGAGGTAACATGGTGCAGTGGGAAAGAAAATGAGACTGGGGGTCTTGCCCTGCCACCAACTTATCCAGGCTACACTGTGTTCTCTATATTCCCCGTCTGTAAGCTGGAGATAAAACACTTGAGTGGCTGCAGAGTGGCTCGAATGAGAAGATCTGTGAAGATGTATATTGTCAAGTGTCAAAAGCTATACAAATGTTAAATGAATTCACTAGTTATAAGCAGAAAAAACTTTATTTCTATCAAATCAAAAAGTATGAATCAGCTTCAAGCAAGATAATCAAAATAATAATACAATTAACAGTTAGAAGAACGCTTACAGATTAGGTTGAGATACTCCAGATTAAGCACACACACACCCAAATCAAGAGGGCCAAGGGCTTCCCCACTGAGGGAAGCACTGACTCATTGTAAACACGTGACTTCTGGGGATGCGGAGCTGACATTTCACAGGACAGTAAACCAAAGGGACAAGTTGTCACTGGGTTAGAGAACTGATTTGAGCTTGAAAGGAATCACAGTGAAATGCCATTGGAACTCAACAATTCCCCCCGAGATCTGTTCTTCTCAAAAACAAGAGTTATATAAAAATCAGTAGTACAAATTCTCATAAAACTAGAAAAGCCTCTAAACCCCGACGCCTTGGAGCTTACATAAAACTCAGTTTTTGTTTTTCTTCCCTTTTCTCTAAATTAAATAGTTTGTTTTTATTTAGTACATTTCTGACTTTATAGCCTAAGCTTTAAAATAAAGAAAAGTTAAATGAAATAGAATTAGACACACACTAACCCTAGGGAGAATCTTCAAGGTGCACCGCTCCTTTGAAAAGTTTTAAACAGGAGACTTTTTATTTCAAAGACACTGAACTTCCTGGGGTAGCCTAATGAGCACTAAGGAAGGAGGGGATATCCAGGCCACACAAGAGCTCTCTCCCTTTGGGGAATGTTTTACCATCTATCTTTTTCTCGTTCTCTCACACACACACTAATTAAATTGGGGAATTCCCTGAAGCATACAGATAATGGCATTTATTTTGGCAAGAATTGTGCAATTTGTTAAAACAAAGATAAGGTATGGCATTTATAAACAATTGTAATTATAATACATCTCAACAGATGCAGGAAGCAGATTTTTCTTCATGGCTGAAATATGGCTTCATGGGTCCCCAAAATCTGGGTCTTGCACACTTCTCCCCTGGAAGCCAGACTGGGTCAGTTATCTACAGAAAGGGATAACTTATGACCAAACCATATTCTTCTTTTGAGACAAAGGAGTTACTGAAAATGGAGGGGAAGAGGGAAGCAATTCATATGTGAACAGGACTCTGCCTTATGAATGGCCTCTCCGGCAAAATTAACTGCAGCAAGAAAAGATACTGTCTGATAAGTGAAAGGTGATAAATGAAATTCTCTAGGTAGATACAGATGCCTCCCGAGAGCCTGTAACCCAGCAGAGTACAGATGAGACCCCCGCCCTCCGCATACAGTGCGCAGCTACCCCGGGGCCCATGGAGCGCCCACGTCCTGGCTCAGCACCAGAGCGCCCAAAACAAAGGTTCCAGGTGGCAGCAAACACATCATTTTCCTATGAATGAGAATGGAGAGCTCAAACTAAAGAAAGGTACCAAAAAGGTCCTTTTGAATTTCCCAGTTAATCTGTATAGGTACGGGAAAACACAAGTTCACATAAACAGGATCGTTTCCGTTTTTAAATACAAGGAGGCAAGGTAATTGAAATAATATCTATTATTTAGGGTAACTGTTAAGGATTTAATTAGACGATGCATGTAATGCACTTAGCATGAAGTAGCAATAACCAGCAACTGCTAAGAATGCCTATACCATAACATTTGGAAATCTGTGGTCTTTATGATTTGAGCAAAGACCCCCAGCAGGCTGGCAAATTGTTTAGACAACTAACTAAAGTCAAATACTGAACTCCAATGAATTAAATTTTATAAAAGCCCTACTTATGGGTTTACACAGGCATCTTTCTATCTAACATTATCCTGTCTCAATAACATTTTAAGTGGCAGGAAAAGCCACAGCAGCACCTCTCTCACCCATTGTTGTTCTTATCTTTTCCCTTCCCTACCAAAGAGGGGGACACACCATGGCTGAAGCTGGAGGGTGAGAGGCAGTGACCCTGGGGAAGGTGGGGAAGGCGGGGAAGACAGGAAGCCATCCCCTCCCCCCCCTGTTTTGCCAGAACTGTGCATGCTAAGCAACACTGCCTCCACATAGGATGGCAGACCGAGGTGTGAGTTTGGCATTCAGAATCATGTTAACGTCTAATGTAATAAAGGGAGATGGTATAAAGTCAGGATTACCCTGTGTTAGGTACACAATCACCATTAGTTCACCTGCCAGAGCTTTAGGAAGGATCAGTTTATTATCAGGGCCTTGTTTGGGATGGCAGAGAGGGAGTGATCTGCTCTGATCTCAGGAAGAAAAGCAAGGAGTATCTGGAGAGCTTCCAGGAGCTCAGACCTGGGCGTGAGCACCACGGCTGAAGGTGGCTGAAGGGTAAAGGTCCCTTTAAGGGCACAAAGCCACGGACACAAAGGGGTTGGTGAGGGACATGAGCTCGCCTTCTCCATAGATTAGCCTGGACTCAAACCAGCCTATTGACAGCCTTTCATTTTATTTATAAATGAGTAGTTATGGAGGATGGAGGCTCAGACTTTCCTCTAGCAGCTTCCTTTGCTTAAGCAAAGGGAAAAATAAGAACAGTGTCATATAAAGCTGAATGTCACCATAGGGAACTCTGCTATTTTTGATGTGAGGCCACTCGAAAATACAAGCAAAACCAAGCAGGGTCACGCCCTGGGTTGCTTTGGACAGAAACAGGCAGTTAACATCCAGGAGCAAACTCAGGCTGCAGAGTCAGGAAAACCTGAGTGTGAGTCCTGGCTACACTGTTTATTGGCAGCAGGAGCCTGAGTAACACACTTCAGATCTCTGACCTTGACCTCTTTCATAAATGTGGGACCATGCCCTATGAAAGATGAAATACAGGAGCCTGGGCAACACACTTCAGATCTCTGACCTTGACCTCTTTCACAAATGTGGGACCATGCCCTATGAAAGATGAAATACAGGCTGGGGCACAGTATCATGAGTACGTGAAACATAGAGTTTATTCTTACGTTATGGATTTATTAATTATTGTATTATTTTCATAAATACAACTGTAAACCTACTTTTGCCCCACCCTGTATTTATAAAGGTTCTAAAAACTGCACATATCACTCAGTAGGCCTTCGATAAATGGTACCTATTTTATGTTGCATTACTGTCAAAGGATATTAAAGAGCAATGTTTCCAAGTTCTAACCAAGCGGGAAGCCTGTCAGCATAAGGGAGAGCAAAGCGAATTCTGAGCTGGTTAGAATCACAGCCTGTGAGGACAGGTAGGAATCTTAGAGACCATCCGAATGATTTCTGCTAACAGCGAAGGAACCATGTGTGTAACAGTAGAATGAAAACCAAGAAAAGGTGTCCCCTGAATTTTACTTTTCTCAAAATAGTTTCTAAAAAATTGAAGTTTTTACAAAATCATTCAAGGAGTTTGTTGAAGAAAACCAGAAACATATCTTTTTAGGCCACTGGACATGAAACAAACATCGTCTTTCAAAGGCCATGGAAAGGGTGTTTGTCTTTTATTGGTCTCACCTAGCAAAGGGCCCCTCAGCTGTTGGGCAACCTCAGAAACAGCAAACACTATGGGACACACTGAGTGACCCTGACACAGGCTGTAGCTGTCTGCTTTGCTGGCAGGGAGAAGGGAGAGGAGGGCAGAGGAGCGGAGTATGGAACCAGGGATCAGGCATTTCCCACTTCCTACCCCTCTCCCCAAAACTCCAAAGGCAATGATTGCACTGATGTCCCTCTCAGGAACAGTCAAGGACCCTCCCTGGGGATAATCACAATGCATGAAGAGGGATATTTATTTTTAAGGCAACAGGAACAAATTTCACTGTCCTTCCCAGAGGAGAGCAAGAATTAATTATACAAGGTGGCCACCAAGTCTGGAAACCAAGCAAATCCTTAATAAAGTGATTTATTGGTATTACATTACAGTGAGTGACAAAATAGTAGTATCTGTACTTTTAGACTTTATGGCCACCCTATAGAATCTTTGGACTAGAAAAAAAATTAAGATTTTGTTTTTTTCATAACCGTAACGCTGTCATACTTAGTCCAGGCACAGCTAGCCTGACATGTTTCCGCAACCCCACAGGCTCCATTCCCTTTCCCAACTACTTATAAGATGCTTGGGTCACTAACAGGAGAAAAACACTGTCAGCATCAACATTTAGCAGCATTTTCAAAATACATTTTTTAAAAAATCTTGAATAAAAAGTAAACTATTCTTTTAGTCCAGTAATTCCATATGGTCTTATCACACCTATACATAAGATATGATCTTTTAACATTTATGAAGGTGAATGTTTCTTACTTTTGTGAGGATTTACAAAAGACTGAGGATTTCATTTTTCCACAAAAAAAAAAAAAGAAATGGTCTCCACCCATGAGAGTTGGACCAGCAGTTTTAAGTAGACTCTCCAAGAGCTCGGTTCCTGGTGTATGAAGTGATCTGGCATGATTCCCTAGCTCTCGGCTCTTAGAAAGGCATTTCAGAGGGCTAAAAGCAGTAAGTATCTTTAGGGAGAAAGGGAAGGGAAGAAACAGATGTAAAACAAACCAGTCTAATAAAAGTAGCAGAAGCCAAATCCTTTCATTCCAGGATATCTGAAGAGGAGAGATTCTATGGAACATGGATGCAGAAAAGGAGATGTCGTTCCTAACCAAAAAAATAATAATATGTTGTAGATACAGTCACTCAAAGTCAGAGAAGTGACCACTGCAAGCAGTTGGCTTCAACCTCACTGTCTCCACAGGGGTTCAAACCAGAGATCGTGGGACAAAGCCTGTGTTTCAGATCTTGGCATTCTCAGGCCTACTGCTGTGCTGATTCAACAGCCTTTGGGGGGTAGGGAGAACCAGAGGCTACCACCATCATGGGTAAAAAGGCTACCACTATGGCAACAAAATGAGCGTCAAAAATCAGCTAGAGCTTGGGTTATACACCGTTTGAAATCCAGCCTGTCTTCACTTTCTTGTGAAGGGCTTGACAGATGGGCAGCGACTTCTTCAACACGTGTAGGTGACCCTTCTATCGAAAGGCAGAGAACAGCCTCTTCATTAACTCCTTTTACTCATTAGTTTTCATGTCAGTTCATCATTTAGACTAGAAAAGACACTGCAAGCTATCTCGGCTAGCTTCTAATTGGACACGGCACCAATACTAACATACAGCTGACAGAACGGCCACGCCTTCCTGGCTCTTCGCGGGCGGGCTCAGTACGCTTCTTTGGACTGAATAGGTGTGATCTTGTTCGAGAAAAGCGTATAAACATAGGGCCAGATTTTGTTAGTCTCCGTTCCAGAAAATTGGTGGAGCACTCCTCGGCTCCTGAAAAACAAAGTCCAACACACAAAGGCATTTTAGGTTTCCTTTTAACACAGCATTAGAGCTGATGAAGTCCCGGGTAAAATGCAAGCAGCCTCAGAGTCTATATCACACACCGCCAAGAGCCAAAACGGCTCCTTCAATTGTATCGGCGCCCCCCACTGGGTGTATCTAAAGAAGGCCATAGATTTTGCAATTCTGGCACACTTGCCAGGATGTCCCCTTGCCTCCCCCCTTTAAAACATATCAAAGAATAACATTATTCTTTGGGGATAATGCCAAATCTGCCTTACTACACACTTCTGAAAAGCTAACCATTGACAAAATTTGATATCCTAGACCCAAATTAGGATAATGACCATAAAATACAGAATGAGTCACCATGACCTGATCAGGAACCTCTGATCAAAGGCTTGCTAAATTATGTGGAGGCTACAAGGTCAGAAACGGATTAGAGCAGAGGCTATAAACTGCTGTCCTGAGTGCTGGACCCCATGTGGGTTTCATTCTGCCTATATGCTGTGAAAATTTTTTTAATTTGTCGCTAATATAAAAATTGGGATATTTTTCCCACGCAAAGACCCAGATTTCTGCTTCTCTTGAAAAACAGGGATCATTGGACACACTGAGCCTGGGGGCCCCAGTGGTGATAATTGGCTGGAGCTGCCTAGAAGCCATACAGTTCCATTGTCACTCAACTGTCCCTGCACTC